TTTTCTTGTATTTGCTAAAGATCTGTGTGTAATCAAAGGTTGTTTAGATAGATTTTCTTTACCTTATCTTTCCGCAAACAATCTTGTAAAATATGTATTGATCTTCTCTATCAATATATATTTTAAATTTGAAAACTCTGTGTTTGTATTCATCCCCTCCCCCTTCTACAAACTGTGTCTTATCTTGTAGACCCTTTTGGGACCAACAGAATATTTTTTAATGCGACCATGACATCCGTAACACAGATTCGTATGACCAACAAATTTGTTACCTATGATCATGGTTATCTACGACCTTAAGACCTACGACCCTTGGTCAAAGATTACCAATCCACAATCAATATTTTTTTCAACATATCATACTAACGATGCATGAAACTGCATATTGATTACAAAAAAAAATTATATGTGGTTTTTACTACAAGAATAAAGACAAATCCGACCATTAACCATGAAGATCATAACGGAAGGCAAAGATTCAAGACAATCAAGTCTAGTCGTTTTCTTCATTAAATCACATTAAAAGTCAACCGTTGGACCACTCCAAAGAATGACCTATAAAATACTAGAAGATCACAAGAAAAATCCCCGGATCATTAGAGAACATACGCATACGAAAGTTACTATCAGAAATATTTCATACTTTTTTGTTATTTTATGCGACCAACACAGGAATTTACTTGTAACTATTATTTTGAAGGACGGTGTCCCTGATTGATGTCCATAGTGCATCGACGATCTCTAGTATCTTCTGCGGGGTTTATTTCCCTCGTTTAAGGGTTTTTCCGCATCACCAATTGTTCCGTCTCTTTTGATTGTTTTTTCCTCGAATTCTAGTGTTTATTTCAAAGTTATTGATCTTTAATTCTTAAAGCTCCACAAACAACCTTAAATTATATTTGATATAACTTTTGGCATAAACACAATGTAAGGTACAAACACATGAAATTCTATAGATTCGGTAAGTGTCAACTGACCACAAAGTCTCACTACTGAATAAAGTACGAATTAATACATATATTTTTTTAATCAAGAGCTCTTATATCTTCTTCCCCCTAATATTGCTTTGCAAAATTATATTGTACATGTATACAGTCTTGCAAGATGATCCCAACTTCCTTGGCTATTTCATATTTTGCCAATTGAGTAACAATAGGAGGTTCAACAGATGTGTTTATCAACTTCCCAACTTTATAATGGTAACCCATAGTTAGGTTTCGTCAGGATTCTAGAAACATGGCCCTGCTTTTTCTTTTTAAAAAAATTTTCATCACATTGGAATAATTCCTTCCATCCAACCTCGCACTAATGGTTTGAAGGGAATCATCCTTGTTACCAAACATTGCAAATACCACAAGATAATCAAAGAAATAACAAAGAATGCAGAAACAAATTGATTTGTATAAAACCAAAACTGAATGATTGAACCACCGCAAATATTGAGAATCAAAAATCACTACCAAAATACAAAATCTTTGTTGCCAAAATAATTGTTATATAGATCACCACATGCCAAAATCACTGCCTCATGTGACCCGACCAACTCCCTATAGAGTCGGATCCGCACAATCGTACATGCTCTATTACCATGATAAGTGTTACACTAACTTGAACGTAGAAGAAAAGGATACAAAGAGAGGGAAAACGAATAGGGTTTCATTAATTAGCTTGAAATATAATATTACAAAATAGATATTTGGGAATTAAAAGTATAAAAGATCTAAAAGGCAAAAATAAAGACAAACCTAACCATATCATGTCGTTGCATTCATAACAACATCGAGAACCTATGAGTCAAGGAAGCAAGGGGCCGTTAATTATAGTCCCTTAGCTTAACACCACTGAGAGTTATATAAATACGAGTTTCAATATCCCATCTTAGAAGTTTACTATGACGATAAACCAACTATGCAATTAAGCACAATTATGTTGATATATCCTACTAGTTTGCCAAGAAAAGATTTCTTAACTAAGGGGTTAGCATGTAACAAGGTCGTTGCATTCTTGATCTATCCGAGATGAAAATTTGTATCATTTACAAATCTTCATCTTGCTAGGGAATGATGAATCAGTAGGGTTGATCATGAATAAACACTCTACATACAACCAAATCATGTATATATAACCAGACAATTGTATGTCCTATGTAAATGTGTTGCAATAATTTATGGAATGCTTTTGGACATCTTAACGAGTCTTTTATGAGACTTTTTAAATAAAACGTCCTATTAAGTTTTTGTGATATTATTTTAAAAAATGTCTTACAAAAACAAGTATTCTAAAAAATGTTCTATAAAAAGCTAATTAATAGGACCTTTTACTTTAAAAATGTTCTAATAAGCTTGTAAAACGCTCAAAAACACCATATAAATATATATTATATTTAAATATGGCAAATGAAATTTACACAGACTCCTCACATTTGATGAGTTTCGAACTCTTGACCTCTAAAAATGTTGGATTACTGATCAGCTGGGGCAAAAAGCCCTTTGCATTCTATAAACTTATTATAACCCTTTTACATATGAAGTACAATAATTTGATCTTATAAACGTAAGTCCTATAAAACTGTCTATTAGGACGTTTAGACGATTTTGACGTATAAAACCGATTTTGAGGTCTTATAAACCCGATTTTGACGTCCTATTAGGACAATTAGATTAATTATGCTAGTTGACTATAAGATGTATACAAATACCAATGAACATACAGAAATACAAACACTCATCATCTATCATTTCTTATCTATCCTACCTTTGTCAATAATTTTTACATTACCCTATCTTCTTTAATTTGTTGATAATAATTAATCCATCCAATTCTTACACTATCATTATAACTTCAACAAGATTGAACTGTAATTATGTTGTCTCAAAATAAGTGGGTTCTATTGAAAGGCACGTTTTAGGTGACTTAAACATATATGCATCTATGGTGTTGGTTGCATAAAGAAAATGAAATACACTATGAATCATTCAAAACTAGATAGATGCCAGTGGACTTGGTCCTCGTGACTGATTCCCTTTGAAAACCAATAGAATTGAACTCACTAGGTTTCACTTGGTTTTTATTTGTTAGAAGACAGGAAAAAAAAGCATCTGAATTTAAAAACTGGCCAATCAGCATGTTCTTTTTGGTGGTTAATAAATAGGAAATACATACATTCAAACTCTGAGACATCTAGTTAGATTATCTTGGACACTTGAGCATGTGTAATAGGCTTAGCTTTTAGTGTTGGTGTTGGTGGTTGGAGCATAATATTCTGGAGACACGTAAAGGATCATGTATTTCCCTCCAACAGTTCATCTGGATCAACCCAAAAACATTACTTCTAAATAAATGATAGCACGTTGGCAGTTTTTCTGAGTCAAGTTAAGACAGACCATAGATCGATGTTGCGACCCTTTTCGGTCGGACTTGGTTTCCTAGATGTTTTTTGTTGGCCATTTCCATTTATCGGTGTTTATTTCTTTTTCTAGTTGCTTTTATTAAGGCTTCATCTTTATTTATAGTTAATACAAGTATTTATGGTTTTAGTATAAATCATAAATTAAATAATTGTGGTCCCTTAAAGAAAATTTGTAATTAATTTATTACCAACCATATATTATTAATTATATTTTTTGGTCTAGATTTATAATTACATCAACTATTATCGTTGTTATTATAGTAACAATATTAATATTAAACTGATTGTGCTTAAATGGAAAAAAAATCAAATTTCAAAACAGATATTAAAGGAAAGGTGGAAGTAATAATAACTAATAAGGAACCAGCAAAAAAGAAAGAAAAATATATCATAAGTCAATCCATAAATAGTTACTGGTACTTCAACTCTCAGATCATGACTTGTTGAAAAACGTAGAAGTTGCAAAAACGACAGAAAACTGGTTCACAAAGTATATGGTAAATCGAATCTATGAACATGTACTAGAACTAGAACTAGAACTAGAACTAAAACTCTCAGATGTAAACAAGAGCTGTTCTAGCAAATCAGATCCTAAATCCTCAAAAACCACAGGAGTTTTTGAACACACTTGAAGCTTACTGTTTCTTTTGCTTTTAGAAATCCTTCTCACCCTGTGAGTCTCCTTTATAGCTGCTGCTGGTGAAGATCCATCTTTGAAACAACTGTAGTATTTCCCTTTTAGAGACTCTTTCACTCTCTCCATTGGAAAGTTGAGTTGAGCCAAGGAACCCCTCATCGAAAATGCTGCTTGATCATAAACTAAAGCTGCCTCTTCCGCGCTATCAAATGTCCCCAGCCAAACCCTAATCCCATTTCTAGTGGAATCCCTTATCTCTGCTGCAAACTTTCCCCAGGGTCTTTCTCGGACGCCTATGAACCGCTTTTTCTGGACTTCAGGCTCTTCTTTTGGCTTTGCGATCACTTCTAAGGTCTCATTGTCGTTGTGTAAGGTTTTGTTTGGACCTGTTTTGAATGAATGCTCATACTGATCCTCATTGCGATCATGGGAAAATATGTATTCTTCTTCTTTTATTTGGAATTTGGAGATCATATGGTGAGAGAAAAGAAGCTCATCCCATGAACAAAGAGACAAGGGGGAAAATTCTATACTGGTGTAGGAAGACATTGGTGAAGGAAGTTCCATATCTGGGGTAAGATTAGACGACTTTAAGAGCCTGAAATTTGAAGTAGTTGTCAATGGGTCCAAAGATTTACACCTTTCTTGCTTTTGGAAGTGGTTGGAGTTTTTGCTGGATGAATCACTCTTATCTCCATTTATCAATATATGGTTTAGTAAAACTTACATATATGTATCTTATGGTTTAACAGTTTCCACTTTCAGTCCCTTGATTTATAGCTGTATCTAGGCTACATGTTTATCATCCAACTAAGCTTGTACAGTTGTTTAGTGTTGGCTAAACATAATATATATCTTATAAAGCATTTAGGTAAGAAAAAACTCTTCTAATTTCAAAAGTATAACATCTATGAATTATTAAGTACAAATCACTAATAATATGTTAAAAATTATGGCTTATTTAGAGTCTTAATTTGACTAAAAGCATATCCGACATAGATGGGTAACCAAAGATAGAGAGGGCTCTATGTCTATAAAAGAAGTTATATGCGAGTTATAGCGTCTAAATGTGAATTACATATATAGAGAGTGCGAGTGTAATTAATTGGGAAGTGACTTGAAAGATTAGTTTGTTTGATTACATGCTGAGTGGTTAAGCTTGGCTCCAAAGGTCAAAAGTACCAGGAGGTCACAGGATCTAAGAAGGAATAAAAATCCCCTTGCGGCCACGGAGGTTCAAATTCGGTGACTCCGGTTTATTTGCAAAGCAGGTGGTCGTCCTACGATTAGTCGGCTCGCATAGCAGGTTGGATATCCAGGTTAATGAAAAAAACATCCGTAATGGTCAAGTCTTTAAAAGATTTGATCTACATAAAAACCCATATTCAAATACTTACTCCAATGGTCAAATCTTTCAAAACTTCTTTTTGTATTTTTAATTCATTTTTAATAAACATACATAAATTATCCTCATTTATTTGAAATGTTTTATAAAACTCCTATAATTTGTTGTTATTTTAATCCCTAATATGTTTTTTTAAACAAATAATATTTAACAACAACATGCAATTTAATTAAAATTTCACAATACGATGTTGAAAAACTAAACCTAACCTAATAATATGTATTTTTCTGTAAATATAAACTATATATACTTTAAACTATTTGTGTTTTTAATATTCCATATTGGTGTTATTTGATCGTACTTACGAGTGTTTTTCAATAATGTATTTTATTAAAAATGATAATAATTTTATTTCATGTATATAATAAATGAAGCATTATTGATTAAAGGTAACATAATGAAAAATGTAAATACATGATAATTTAAGAGTAATATATATATAGCATTCTTTTTTTTTTATTAACCTAGATATCCAATTCGTTATGCGAACAGACTAATCTCAGAGCAAACATCTGCTTTACAGATAGCTCGGAATCACCGCATTTGAACCTCCAGGGCCACCGGGGGGGGGGGTTATTCCTCCTTGAATTTGAATTTGGGACCTCCAGATACTTTTGACCTCTAGAACCAAGCTCAAAATATATAACATTCTTTCAATCTACGTTCAATGATTAACCATTTTATCAGGTCATTATTTTTATCATTGGAGATGCTTAATTGTTTTTACATAGTACATATTTTCTATGAAGACACATGTTCCCAAAAAAAATCAAATTTTGAATTTTATTAAATAAAATATTATATTAATTTTTTATTTTTGATATACAAATAAATTTTGCATTTTGAACTCAAATATCACATGTATGCATTACTAAGAAGTGTCAATAACTAGCAGCAAATGCTTGATCGTCCCCTCATCTGGTTTTACAGTCTTCAAAATTAAAGAGCATCCATTTCGTAAGCTTTCATCCTTCCATGTTAATTTGTAGTATATGCATAATTCTGATACATGATCTTATAAATTTGCAGTTTCTACCTTTACAAATCAAGGATGAACGATATATGAAATCTTTAGCTTAGTCGGAGAACTAAGCGTTGGAAGTTATGAACGTATAGCTAGGGAGTTCTGTATAAATTTCGATGGGAAATATGAAAGGAAATGAGTTGCTATATCCAGGGGTTGAGCTAAACCATCAAATTGTATAAACCGTCCACACCGCATTGTATTGTACTGGAACGTGTGGTCTAGAACTTTACCGGTTTGCATTTTTATTAAATCAAACTTTATGGTGCAGTTTTTAGTTTTGAATCATTAAACCATGTTCAAAATGCACCATACCGCACATTTTGTATATATAATTTTACAATATATATTTGTACAACTTATGCAACTCAATCAATTGAAATATTTATGAAAATGATGAGAGTTCATTTATTATGATTTGAATATTTGTGAAAGATGACTAAGGTTCATTAATTATGATCAATTCTTTATATTAGGAAACAATCAAAACTTTTATGAAATCACATATTCATCAAATTAAATTGACGGTTGAGATCGAGTTGTATTGGTTGTACAAATGTAAATGGTTGCTTAATAACTCACACATCTATATAGGGCCCATTCAATGAAGAACTGTTTAGTTTGTTGTAACCTTGAGATCCAATCTCAACCACAAATCAAAGGTTAAATTAGGAAAATAATAATTTTAATTTAAAATATTAATTAAGAACATTTTAGTCATTCTAGATTTCTCATCTCTCCTTCCTTCTCTCTCATCTCTACTCTCAACTCAATCCAACGAATATCATATCAACACATGATACACACTTCATAAAATAACAAAAAAACACAGTGTGATACACTTGGTAAATAAAACATTACCTGATATAATGTTACACTTCGTAAAATAACAAAAACATATTGTGATACATTTCATATACGACAATAATACATTGTGATGCACACTATGATACCAGATCTGGTTGATGAATACAATGTGATTCACAAAGATTACAAAGAACATAAGAGGCTTGCAGCTTTTTAAACGAATCAAAAATAGGGGATTTGATTATAATTCTATTATACCTCACCTTGTTTCCGTAATGATTGCACATTGAAGATATGGTGAATGAACTTCCATAATTTGTTTGATTCATAAGGAAACAATATCAATCTCTTTGATTGATAACCGTTATGAAAAATACTAAGAAAAATTACTAATACACCCTTTTTCTTAATTAAGGTAATACAATTAATATATCAAATGGTTGGTTCATATTGGACCTCATAGTTATTACAAACTAATTAATTCTCATTTGATTAGGCTCATATATATATATATATATATATATATATATTTGTGTTTTCATTCATTTTCTCCTATACAATTATGCGAAATCAATCTCTTCCCTTCAAATCTACTCTCACGGTTCTATTATAACACAAATTGTAAAGAGATTTGGATCTTCATCAAACGAGAGTTTAATTTTAACAAGTTGGACTTAACTTAATTTATTTATAGGCTTACTTAAAAGTTGCTCCTTTGAAAATTAGTCATAGCTAGGCGATGTAAAACTATTTCTTCTTTATTGGATAAGTTGTTATGTCTACATCTATCGTGGATTCCTAAGATGCTTTTAAAAAGTCCTTGTATTCTAATACAGACCGATCGAGAAACATTTTTTAATAAATAATGTTTATCTAATACAGTACAACCAACACACTAAGAAATCAAATCAAATCAAATTTGAATGACTTACGGATCAGGGTTTTTTCCACCATTGTCACCCATCAAAATTCAAAATTAAGCTTTCATATGCTATTGTAACCTCTCTATTTCCTTACAATATGCTCTATGGGTGGTGGTACAGATCAATTTCAACTGTAGCACGTAAATTATTTTCATACTTTAGGACAATTGAATGATGACGTGGCACTGCCATAACTTCTTCGTAGATCCGCACTAGTTGAATTCTTTTTGATGGTTAAAACCTAGAGATATGATCCAACGAATTAGCTCTAGATCATAGGAAATTATACAATGTCTAGGAGGATATATTATTTATAGGGCATGGCTCACACTAGAACAAATATAATCTAGTCCAACTTACATTAACTTACTAAAAAGACTTAAAAGCCCCTACTAAGGTACGATTTCCTCTTGGTTCAAGCCTCAATAATTTAAAAACCCTAACCCCTAAATTCTTCAAATAATGTGTCAAGTTGGTGGGGGTGCAAACTTGTGAAAGGGACTAAAGCCTTATATTATTGCCACTCTAGCAAGACTTTTACTTTTAAATAAGGTGTATTTTGATTTGTTTTTAATCAGGTATTTAATAATATATTAATTCAGATTGCAGACTGTTGTTTATTTAAATGAGACTCATCGTTTAAACAAACCAGCAACTGGTATTATAAATAAAATAAACCGCTATTCTGCTACGAATAAAATAAACATTTATGGATATACAAAAATGGATGAAATATATAAAAGTTATGTGTTTAATTGGTTAATACACAAGCATAGAGTTGAATATTGCAACTTTTGACATCTATTAAAAGATAAATTACATAAAAAATGGAACATAATTTGTTTTAACTTTTATTTATGTTTTTTAAACTTTCATTTTAATGGTTATGATATGATATATCAAACATTTAAATAACTAGTTATAGCTAATAATAAGCTATAAAAATATCATTTTAAATAAATATTTACATGAATGAAAATCATCAAATGATAAAGGTATTTTAATGTTTGCATGGTCACATTTTGTGAAAAAAAAAATTAAAATACAATACTAAAAATAGGAAAAACGTTACATTTTCATCATTTTTAAAACTAATTTCAATCACGTGATGGTAATTTCTAAAAGTAGATAAATTTGATCCAAACATTAGTTAATGTACCATATAGAAATTGTAGGGTTTGTGTGGGGAAAAATAAATTGTGTTGACAAAAATGGTGACACAAAATCTTTATATTTTATTTAGAAGATTTAGAAAATATTTTAATTAATATTTTAATTAATACTTTAACAATACAACAAATGGTCAAGTGGAAGCTTACCCCTACAAAGAACTTTAATTATGATACCGATTTCGTCTTATGCATTTGATTTTGCTCAATAAATTAATTTATGATTTAAGATATATGTTATTTATTTATAATTTAATAGGAAAATAAAATACATTTATGTATTTCAATCCGGTA